AGCTTAGAGAAGTTCCTGGCCTTTCCAAGTTGATCAAACAAGTTAGTGATTAAAGGTATCGAGTACTTATTCTTAATAGTTATCTTGTTCAAGACTAGATAGTTAATGCACATTCGTAGTGATCTATCCTTCTTCTTTTGAAAGAGAACTAGAGCACAATATAGAGCCTTAGATGGTTAAATATATCCTAAATCAAGGACATCTTAAAGTTGTCTCCTTAATTCAGTAAGTTCTAGAGGTGACATGAGATAAGGTGTTAAGGCAATTGGTTTGGCACCAAGCTCTAACTCAATTGGATGGTCTACCTCTCTTTTAGGAGGTAGTTTTTTCGATAACTCATCAGGCATGACATATCTGTACTCCCACAGTACCTCTTGGATGTAAGGTGGTGAGGCTTCTTGTGAATTAGTTGTGCCATCCTCTTCTTTAGCTAATAAACATACGATGGCAATGTAAACTCCTAAATTCTTGAGATCCTTTTTGAATTTCAAGGAAGTAATCATAGTTTTTGATTTCTCCAAGCGCTTCAAAGGGATCACCTGAATCATATTCGTATTGATAAACACTATAGACTTAGCTTCAGGAATGGGAAGGCATGTGCTTTGTAGAAGAAAGAAAGTCCCAACACAGTGTTAAAATTATCCATAAGGACAATAGTGAAGTTTAGCGTACTTTATCAATCTCGATCTTCACCTTTGCATCTTTAGTAATCCCAAGGACTTGTTTCACTAAGGAGTTTACCACCTTAATAGTGCCTTCTCCCTTGTTGAATTGAATGCATAATCGCTTGGCCTCTTTAACCTCGATAAAGTTATGACTTGCTCCTGTATCAAGCATGGCAAAAGTAGGCTTGACTTCAATGGCAAGATTGGCATAAAGTAGCCCCTTCTCTTCCTCCTTAGTTGAAGAAAAGAGTTTAGTCAATGTACGCAAGTGTTGTAAGGAACTAAGGTCATCTTAATGTTTCTTGTCTTGGCTTTCCTTCATCTTGGCAATTAAGGCATTCATAGTCTTTTGATTGGTATAATCATGAGTCCAATGTGGACCATGGCATGTAAAGTATGGCTTTAATAGCTTTAAGGGATCACACTTAGTTTATGATGGTTTATCTTTCTTAGAGCTTCCATTAAAGGTTTTATGGCTACCATCATCCTTACCATCAAAATTCTTCTTTTGCCTACCTTTATCTCCCCTACTTTTTCCAAGATTGGGCTTCTTACTCTTAATAGAGTAGTCGATTAAGGACTCAACATACAAGCAGCTCTATTAGTGGTAGTACTTCAAACACCACTTTTTAAGGATTGAAAGAGCCTAAGCTAGTAATGTTCAATGGAGCTCGCAATGCAACAACTGTGAAAAACTTCCTCTTTAGGCTTGAGCAGTACTTTGAGGCCATGGTAGTACTTTAGGAGTGTAGATCATGTAACTCGTCCTCGATGAACTTGCAAAGGTTAGTGATGAATCATATATTTTATATGTTTTATCCTATATTTTCTATACATTTTAATGATAATTTTGGACTAATTTGGGTTTATTAGATATTATTTGGATTATTAGCCAATTTTGAGGAATAATATATTTTTGAATTAATTATAGGAATTTTGGCTTATTTTGTGAATATTTTATTTTTTTTTTCTATTTTTAACATGGGTTAATTTTGCCAATCATTAATTAAGCTTAATTTGAATTATTATACATTATTTGAGTTTTTGGCTATTTTGTGAAAAAATTATAATTGCTGAAAAAATTTATTTGAAAATATTTTATGAGACATGTGATTTAATTTGAAGATAATCTAACCTAGCAGGTTCATTTTGACTTTTCAGAATATAGAAGTACAATTAATAAAATTCAATAATAGAAATTATACTTGACAAGTTGTTATTCATTAAATAAAAGTTATGATTGAGACTTGTTTTTTAATAATAAAAATTATATTTGACAAGTTGTGATTTCTTATTTAATTTTTGTGATTCCCAAAACAAAATTTGTTATTGCTTAAGTAAAAATTATGATTGGAGCTTATTATTTTCAATAAGATAAAATGGTCTTTCATTTTAAAATTTATTAACACAGAAGTCTCTAAAAACTTTAATAGAATTATGACATTTTAAAAAATCAGATTGTCATTTATATAATTTGAAAGAATTTTATTATCATTTTTTCAATAATCAAAGGCTTTACTACTTGTTTGGACAGGCCTCAATAATCAATTATATAAGGCTAAACCATGGTTTTGATGAAAAAAACCCAAACACCTTCATTTTTTTTTATAATTGATTTTTCTTCCCAAAACTCCATTGTACTCTAAGCTTGGGGATACTTCTTATTTTTTATTATGAGCTTGTTTGGATTTCAATTGGGTATAATTAATTATAAAAATAATTAATTGATATGATTGATTTTGATTATAATTGATTATATTAAAATATAATCTGTTTGGATAATATTTCTTTAAAATTAATTTTAATAGAATTAAAAATGTTTGAATAATTTATTTAGAATAAATTTTAATTTTACAAATTACCATAAAAAATATTATTTTTAAAAATTAAATTATTAATAAATTTGTATATAATATTATTGAATTTTTTAAATTTTATTTAAGAAGTAACATATGTTATTTAAATTATGTATTTGATTAATTATAAAAATTTAAATTATATTAATATTCACAATTGTAATTTATGTAAACAAGAAACTCAATATATTTTAGTTTAAATAAATTTAATAAAAGAGAAATTTTTAATTTTTAAATATCAAACATTAATTTTATAATAATTAATGATGAACACCGTATTTTATATGGGTCCTAATAAATAAATAAGATATTATCCATAATAAAATAAAAAATAGAAAATAATAAGAATGAAAATAAAAAATATTTTATATAAAAAAGTTGGATGTGAATATAATGAAAAAATATATAATCAAGCTAGATCACAATATAATAATTTGAATAATCAAAATATAATATAATATAATGGTTTGAAGATTTCAAGATAATCTAATATCTAATATTAAGATTTAAAGATTCCAAAATAATACAATAATCAAGATATAATAATAGGAAAGATAACAATTAATATTCAATTTCTAAATAATAATATAAAAATGTATATAAAATACTAATATTGATCACGATAGGATTAAAATATTAGAAAAACTTTAAGTGTAGGGGTATATATAAAGGAGATAGTTAGAGAAACTCATGGAGACAGTTAGAGAGAGAACGATAGACATTCAAATAGATTGAGATTCATAAAGATAAATTGACCTTCTCTCATTTAAATGTTCCACTCCCTTTTTTTTTCCATCTTATTTAATTCCTTTACTTTTATATGATTTACAATTGATTAAGATAAATTTTGCATTTTGACCTCATGTGCTCCTTGAATATACATTATCTCCTTGACTTATTCTCTCATCTTTAAGCATGAATTGAAATTTATTCCTTCATTGTCACTTGTTTTACACGTAACATTGTGAGAATCAATTCCTTAGTCCTTACTTGTGTTGTCCTTAAGTCTCAAGATGCTAAATAAGAATGTGAGAACCAATTCTTTATTTTCTCTTGCATCATTTGTTTTCTTGATTGCGTCATCATTGGACCTTAAGGTGTCAAATAAGAAGAAATTTTTTTGAAGTTACAATTAGACAACTTAATGAATAAGCCCGACATCATTTGAAAGGTATTCATCGGTTTTACCTAATTTATTTATTGTGCCCTCATAAATTTTTAAGTTAATTAATTTGGCATACATGGCAATAAATTATCAACAAGTGCATCTGTAAGGCGTTTTATATTTTTAATTGTGTGAGACTTTCAAAGTCTACGCAAGCTAATAAGTCAATTAATTTATTTTATGTAGCGATAAATTATCACATATGCATAGTTTTAAAATCATTCGTTGTATCAGACTTTTAAAGTCCTCACCTATATATAAGTCAATTAACTTATCCTACGCAGTGATAAATTATCACAAGTACATATTTCAAAAAATTTAAAAATAAAATATTTACCTAAAAATAAATAAAATAAAATAAATCATATTTGAAAGACTAATTTGGGTACATGAAATTTTCATATATCTTATCAAAACTTTTTTTTCCAAGATTGTCTCTCAAAATTTTATCACAAATAAAGAAACAAAATATCTTCAAAAATAAAAAACTAAAAACCAACATTAAAATTATTTTATAAAAAATTATCAATAAATATTTTTCTTAAAAAATTTCCAACCAAGAGATACGCATTTTTTAACCTGAACTATGTAGATTTTGGTCCCTCAAAAGGGTATGTAGGTCCTAAGTTTTATCCTAAGTCAAATCCAACTTATAAGTAAATAAATTTTTTCTTTTTTAAGTTTCTTACTTTTTTATCTTATTTTTATTAAGGATAATTAATATATTTTTTAAGGTCATTTAAATTTATATAGTTAATATATAAATGGGTGTTGTGAAGTACTTAACACCTTTCCTGCACATAATCGACTCCCTTACCCTTTTTTTCTATATGTAGACCACATGTCAAAAAAGTTTACAAAATTACCCTTTAAAATTTTGATGGTAACTCCTAAATATTTATATTTTTATTCAATTTTCCTTCTCGGGAAATTTTGGACTGGGTTTGACAATGATAATATACAAATTGATTTTTAATGACATCACGAATAGAAGTGATATTTAATGAAGATGTTAAGCACTACCTTAAAATTTTGGCAACATAAAAATTGTATTATTGCAAGTGCTAAGTGAAAGGTGATAATTGATATGAACTTATGTTAGTAATTTTTTTGAGGATTCAAAATTTAAATTTTACTAAAAAAAAATTTAATTTAATTTTTATTAAATTTTATACTTTTTTTATAATTTTTTTAGAGCCTTTCTGTAATTTTTCACGTGCTTTTTCATCAGATTTTCTTAAATTCTCCCCCCCCCCCCATATTCGAACTCCCGAAGCTCGCTGTGGCAGCTTAAGAAAAAAATCAAATTTTCTCTGAACAATCGATTACCTACTTAAACTGCTGTTTGGGCAATTTTTTGAAAAATTGATTATCTAGTTAATCCAAGCACGCAGATATATATCTGTCAGTGACAGTACTGTGCGTCAAATTTTGCTTGCAACAAACGTAGCCTTCGTGCTGTGATGGAAGTAGCATGTCTAGTGCTAACACTGAACCCTATATATCTAACACAGTTTTTATGTACAATTTCGTGATGTTTTCCTTCTGCTTGAACTCCTCTTCTGTTCCGTTAACAAGCCAAGTTTTACGACAGTGAGATAAGCTTCTTCGGTTCTTGTTCTTTCTAATGGGATCTTCTTCCAAGTTTTCTGGTATGAAATATGATGTCTTCATCAGCTTTAGAGGCACAGACACCCGTCATGGTTTTCTTAGCCATTTGAGAAAGGAATTGAGGCAGCAGCAAATTGATGCCTATGTGGATGATAGACGGGAAAGTGGGGATGAAATATCACCGGCACTTTTAAGTGCCATTGAAGAATTACTTATTTCATTGATCATATTTTCGAAGGGCTATGCTTCTTCAAAGTGGTGCTTAGAAGAACTTGTGCAGATTATTGAATGCATGGAGAAGCAAAAACAGATTGTAATTCCTGTTTTCTATAAAATAGATCCCTCAAATGTGAGACATCAGAAAGGGTCTTATGGAGATGATTTTGCTAATCACGGCAAATATTACAAGGAAAAGGTGCCAATTTGGATTTCAGTTCTGAATAAAGCTGCTAATTTATCTGGGTTTCACTCATCAAATTATGAGTAAGTTCTTATCTTTGAAAACTTTTTTCACTATGCAGTGATGTCACTGAATTTCATAATCATTTTACTTTCTTCTGATTATAGGGATGAGGCTCAGCTCATAGAAGAAATCGCCAAATCTTTGTCAACAAAGTTGAATATTATGTACCGAAGTGACTTTACGGACCTTGTTGGGATTGATGAAAGAATTGCAGAATTAGAATCATTGATGGTTGAAGGATCAGAAGATGTTCGTGTCATTGGAATTTGGGGTATGGGCGGTATCGGTAAGACAACAATCGCAACCGCAATATTCGATCGATTTTGTTTTCAATATGAAGGGAATTGTTTTTTGGCAAATGTGAGAGAAGAAACTGAAAATCATGGAGTTATTTATTTGAAGAATAAAATTTTTTCTATACTGCTGAAGGAAAATGATTTACAAATTGGCACCCCATATGGAATACCCACTTATGTTAGGAGAAGGCTTCTTCGAAAAAGGGTTCTTGTAGTACTAGATGATATTAGTGATTCAGATCAACTTGAAAATATAGTGGGAGCACTTGATTGCTTTGGATCTGGAAGTAGAATCATTATAACAACTAGAGATAGACAGGTGCTGGGTAAAAGAGTTGATAAAATATATGAAGTTAAGCCAATGATGTTTGATGATGCTGTTCGGCTTTTTATGTTGCATGCCTTCCAGAATAATCAGGTAGACTTGGAGTGGAAAGAGCTGTCAGGGAAAGTGATTAGTTATGCTAAAGGCATTCCGTTAGCTTTAAAAGTCTTGGGTTCCTTTCTTTATGGCAGAAGTAAGGAAGAATGGAAAAGCCAACTTGAGAAGCTCAACAAAATGCCACATGCAAAAATTCAAGATGTGATAAGATTGAGTTATGATAGACTAGATTGGGAAGAGAAGAACATTTTCTTATATATTGCATGTTTCCTCAAAGGATATCAATCACAGCAAATAATAGTTCTATTGAATGCCTGTGGTTTCTCAACAATTATTGGGTTAAAGGTCCTTCAAGACAAAGCTCTTATAACTGAAGCCAAAGGAGCATGCTCAGAAAAATCAAGGATATTTATGCATGATTTAATACAAGAAATGGGTTGGGAGATTGTTCGTCAAGAATCTATTGATGATCCTGGAAAACGCAGTCGTTTGTGGGATGTTAATGATATATATCAAGTGCTAAGATATGACATGGTAATTAAGCATTGTATTTATTTTTGTAGAAAATATATTCCATCGTTCACCCTTGTATGCTACTTTTGCTTTCAGGGAACTAAAGCCACTCAAAGCATAACTCTGAACACGGCAAATATTGAAGAACTACACTTGAGTCCACAAACCTTATCGGCTATGCACAATCTAAAATTTCTCAATTTTTATAAACGTGGTTTTGGAAAGGGGAAGTTACATCTTCCTTGTGGTCTAGAATTTTTGTCCAATAAGCTCAGACTTTTACGTTGGGATGAATGTCCTTTGATGTCCTTGCCAGTAACATTTTCAGCTGAAAATCTTGTTACCTTGAAAATGAACAGTAGCATATTGAGAAAACTTTGGGATGGTGTCCAGGTAAATCTAAATTTTTCTTGAAAAGGTATTAGAAAGTTAGTCAAGAATGATTTCTCTTGTAATTTCTCTCTTTTTTATTGTTACAGAACTTGGTAAATTTAAGGGAGATTCTCCTTGATGAATCCAAGTACTTGATTGAGCTTCCAGATTTTTCAAGAGCTATGCTTCTTAAAAAAGTAAATCTCAGCCATTGTACAAGCTTGCGTAGTGTTCATCCATCCATTTTATCTCTTCCTAATTTGGGTCAATTAAGGCTAACAAATTGCAAAGCCCTTACCAGCCTTACATGCAGTACCCCTCTAAAATCACTTACATGGCTCTCACTCGATGGATGTTCAAGACTCAGTGAGTTTTCAGTAACCTCAGAAAAAAGGTTACAGTTGTTTCTTTCAAACACAGCCATCAACGATGAATTATGCTTATCAAGTGGATGCCTCGGCAATATTGAACAATTGAGGCTAGATGGCTGCCAAAGTCTCATAAATCTTCCTTATAATAATGCTGAATTGAGTGATCTTCGATCTCTTAATATTTCTGGCTGCAATAATTTAGCATCAAATCTGCATTTACTATTAGATGGGTTTTGTTCTGTGGAAGAGTTGTTGCTGAATGATTGCAGCAACTTATATGAACTGCCCAACAACATTAGCATCTTGTCATCATTACAGGAGCTGTCACTTTCAGGTTCGACTAACTTGCAGACAGTGCCCGCAAGCATCAAGCATCTTTCAAGGTTGCAATGTCTTAGGTTGGATGAATGTGAAAGGCTTCGGTCTCTACCAGAACTTCCACCCTCCGTTGTCAACTTGTCTGCTAGGAACTGTAGATCCCTTGAGACCCTGAAGCTAACCATTTCGGCTTCAGTCACATTAGAAGATGAAGTATGCTTTCACTTTGGAAATTGCATGAAATTGGATCAGCAATCAGTAAACGCTATTGAAGCAAAAGCTTTGCTTGAGATGGATAAATTAGTATCAGCTGTTGAAGAAAGGGTTACATGGACGATGCAGGCTCAACTTGTATATCCAGGAAGCAAAGTTCCAGAGTGGTTCATGTACAGATCAACACAGTCTTCCATAATTGTGGATCTCTCCTCCATCCCACAACCTAAGGATTGGAGTTTCATTTTCTGCGCCATTGTTTCTCACTCTGAATCCTTTTTGTACTTCGAAACAGAATGGTATTTTAGTGATGGCCAGCAGGTTTTGGATGAGAAGATGTATTACTTTTGTAAACATATCGGCACCATTCATTCAGATCATGTTTGTCTCTGGTATATCTCAGAGCTTCCTTCACAGGTGCAAAGGATAATTGAAGAAAAGGGTACAGATAATCAGAGCAGCATTAATCATCAATCAGTTGAAGTAAAATTCCTTGTGAAAACTCCTAGTCCGGTTCCACTTTTGGGTCTCAAGGGGTGTGGCTTATGCCCAACAGGTGCATCAGGATATCGAAGTTATATTCAACAAATGGAATTGGTGTTACAGTCACAACATAATTCAGTGGGAATCGGAGTTGGTTGCTCCTGTGACAAGACCAATGAGAAAGAAGTGGTTCCTAGGAAGTCTAAGGATTTTATCTTACCAGCTCCACCAACTGTGACATGGAAGAGGAAAACACAGGGCCTGAAAGATATTATCTTCTTATGATACTTCATTCACATTTCCTTTTTCTTGGTTGATTCAAGCAAAAATTCAGGTGATTTTTTTCTTCTAATTGTCTTGGTATTCAAAATTGGCTTATCTTCATGTTATATTGCTTATTTGCAATTGGGTTAAGAATTCTTATGCAAATTTTATCACTGTAAAGTCCAGTTGGTAGAACTCAAGCACAGATTGGGCAAACTAAATTGCTTAATTTAAGCTTCCCATTTTGAAATATGATATGATATTTTAGTCAAATGACTTAAGGGAGTCTCTTCTTGTATTACTCTGTCAATAAGAATTTTCTTGACACAAAGGATATTTGATTTACTTGTTATTCTATTTTTGTTCTGTCATTTTCTATTCTCTCTAACAGGTGAGCATTATTTTTCATTTTTCTTCCTGTTCTGCTTCTTAAGAGAAGCATAAGGAATTTGGTTCTTAATTATTTCTCCACTATCTTCAAATTAATATATAAAGTTAGCGTTCAATTTCATTTTGGTCTGGAACACAGCTTCTCTGCCTTGCATCACTCTGTCAATAACGATTTTCTTGGTACAGATTAAAGGATATTTGATTAAGTCTGAGAAGGAATTTGAACTAAGATCCTATTTTTGTTTGAGAAGTGGTTCAAATTTTAAAAGATCTAGCTTTCAAATTTTTGTTTCCGAAATTCTCTGCTTCATTTGACTTCATTTTGTTGCTTTGAACAAGTCAAACCAATTTTTTTTATTTATATTTATTTGTTTTCTTCTGCACTTTATCTGGAGGCGGGCCATGTTTCTTCCCTCATGATTTTACTTGCTTCAGCTTGTTGATTTTTTTTAGACACACCATTGTTGCAAGACGAGCTTCCTTGTTTGTTTTTAACAAGCCCATGGTTGAACATGGCCAGCCAGCAAAACGATGCTCTTGTTCCTATGTTTTTCCCCTAGTGAAGCTTTTGTATAATGATCACCTTTGTGACCTTAACGAGGCCAAAAATTATAGTGGGATGATATGAAGTGACATATAATTATTTATGGAGATTGGGAAAAAAACAAAGAAAAAATTCTGGTATACATGGATGATGAAGTGGCATCCACTTTATTGGAAGATGAACATCCAGAGCTGAAGGAACCTCAACCAACAAACAATGCTCTTGTTGCGACCTTAACTAGGACAATAATTATAGTAGGATGATATGAAACGACGTAATAAATTATTCATGCAGGTTGAGGAAAAGGAAAAGGACAATTTTTTGGTATATGTTGATGTAGAACATCACTTTGATCCTATATCTTGTCTCCATTTACCTTATATGGCCAGTAATTTTTAGATGAGACTACAAGACAGTATTCTTGTTGATTCACATAGGAATGTCCATATTTCAAGACAGGTACTAATAATCTTCCCTTTCTAAATGAACAGTTCAGAAGGTGAAAACTATGTGATGTTTTAGTATATTTTTTCCCTTTTTCACGAACAATGATTTAATCGCCATGCATAGAACATACTTCTTAAGTGACTTACTTTGGCTTCACCGAACTAATCAAGTGTAGCCCTTATAAACAGATCTTAGATGAAGTTTGAAGAAAACTCTACTATTTTGGATATCATAGCTAGCATTCACAAAACCCAGATATGGTTGCATCCTCTTCCTCTGCTGCATCTTCTCGATGGCCAAAGAAACATCAGGTATTCGTTGGCTTCAGAGGTGAGGACACCCGCAACAATTTCACAAGCCATCTTCATGCAGCTCTCTGCAGGAACAAAGTTGAAACATATATTGATAATAGGCTTGAGAAGGGAGGTGAGCTGTGGCCTTTGCTTGACGTAGCCATTGAAGACTCGACTCTGTTCCTTGTGATATTTTCAGAAAACTTTGCGTCTTCCACATGGTGCTTGGAGGAGCTTGCAAAAATATTGGAGTGTACCAAAGATCAAGGCCATGTTATGCCGGTGTTCTCTATGGTAGAGCCTTGCACATGTCAGGAAGCAGACTGGGAGTTGTGAGACAGCATTTAAATTACATGAGCGGGGCAAGAGTCAACTAGTACGCAAATGGAGGGAGGCTCTCAAACTTGCTACCAATTTAGCCGGTTGGCCTAGTAGTTTTGATAGGTAAACTATAAAATTATCACATTTGACCATCAATATTCTGATATTTTCCTTTTATTAATCCTCATCTCACTAAGTAAGTTGCATTTTATCTTTACCGATCCATCCATGCTAAGGTCATAGTAAAATTCGTACAAGTTCCAAGTTGCATTTAATTAGGCATGATTTGAATATCTGAATTTCTTTGCCCATGATGCAGCAATGAAGCTAAGCTCATTGAAGAAATAGTTCAATGCGTGATGTGAAAGTTGAATGATGTGTATGGAAGTGAAGTTCATTTGAAAGGATTGATTGAAATTCATGAAAAAATTGCAAATGTAGAATCATTGTTTTGTAAAGGATCATCAGAACATGTTCGAATGATTGGGATTTGGGTTATGGGTGGTGTAGGTAAAACAACTCTTGCAAGGGTAATATATGACAAATTGCATTCTCATTATGAAGGGTGTTGCTTCTTGGCCACTGTAAGAGAAGAATCAAAAATATATGGAATAGCTGTTGTTAAGGAAAAACTTATTTGGCCATTATTAGGGAATAAAGAATCTCGTATTGGCATGCCTAATGAAATATCACCCTATATATGCCATGAGGAGACTTGGTCGGAAAAATAATTTATTTGTTCTTGATGATGTTGACAATCATGAACAATTAGAGAGTTTAGCCAGAAGATATGATTGGTTTGGATAGGGCAGTAAAATCCTGATAACCACGAGAGATAAACAATAATCTGGCAAGAAAGTAAATGATAGATTTGTGCTTGAGGCCTTGAATTATGATGAAGCGATTTGTCTTCTCTCTTTGAATGCATTTAGAAATGATTGCACTCATTTGGAGGTAAGAGAGTTAGCGAAGCAGGTGACTCTATGCCGGAGGAATTCCATTGGCCCTCAAAAGTTTTGGGTTCCTTCATGTACGGTAAAAGTAAAGAAGAATGGGAAAGCCAATTGCAAAAGCTTAAAAAAGTTACCTTGTTCAAAAATTCATAATGTTTTAAAATTGAGTTGAGAGAGTTGATCATGAAGAGCAAAAAATTTTTTTTTAGATATTGCATGTTTTTTCTATGGTTATTATGTGCAGGTTGTAAAATATTTGTTAGACGCATGTGGTTATTCAACAACTATTGGATTAAGAAGTCTTAAAGATAAAGCTCTTTTAAATATTGAAGCAGTCTTGATACAACAATAACAACAACAACAAGCCTTTATCCCACTAGGTGGGGTCGGCTACATGGATTGCAAGACGCCATTGTGCTCTATCATTTATCAAGCTTTTAGGAATATTATTAATTAAAAGATCGCGTTCAACAACTTCCAAGAGTGTTCTCTTAGGCCTTCCTCTACCTCTCTTAATCGGACTTAAAGTTATATGTTCCACTCTTCTTACTGGTGCCTCCCTTGGTCTTCTTTGTACATGTCCAAACCATCTCAACCGATTTTCTATCATTTTTCCTCAATAGGTGCCACCCTCACTTTTTCGCGTACGTGTTCATTTCGAATTTTATCTTTACGTGTATGTCCGCACATCCATCGTAACATTCTCATCTCTGTTACTCCAACTTTATGCTCTTGCTGTCCCGTTAGAGCCCAACATTCACTACTATATAATATTGCCGGTTTGATAGCAGTGCAATGAAACTTTCCTTTAAGTTTATTAGGCACCTTACGGTCGCAAATAACTCCTTTAGCTTTTCTTCAATTAAACCATCCAACTTGAATTCTATGTAAAATATCTCCACTGATTTCGCCATCATTTTGAATAATGGCTCCCAAATATCTAAACCTTTTCACTTGAGGTATAATTTAATCTCCCAATTTCACTTCTAAATTATTGTCGAATAGTCCTTTACCAAATTTACAATATAAATATTCCGTCTTACTTCTACTCAGACGAAAACCTTTCGACTTCAATGTCCTCCTCCACAGCTCAAGTTTGCAATTAACCTCTTCTCTTGTCTCTGCTATAAGAACTATATCATCCGCGAAGAACTTACATTTTAGAATTTCCCCTTAAATATGTTCCGTCAAAACATTTAAGATCAAGTTGAACAAATAAGGACTCAGAGATGATCCTTGATGTAGTCCAATCTTTATAGAAAATTCTTTTGTTTGACCACTAGGCGTTCTTATACTAGTTTTTACCCCCTTATACATATCTTGTATGGCTTTAATATAAGCAATCCGTACTCCCTTTTTTTCTAACGCTTTCCAAAGCACTTCTCTTGATATACGGTCATAAGCTTTTTCCAAATCAATAAAAATCATGTGTAGATCTTTATCTTTACAACGATATTTTTCATTAATCCCCTTAGTAGATAAATCGCCTCTGTAGTTGATCTATCTGGCATAAAACCAAACTGATTCTCAGAAATACTTGTCGCCAATCTCAACCTATGCTCAATTACTTTCTCCCACAATTTCATTGTGTGGCTCATGAGTTTAATCTCTCTATAATTAGTACAATTCTGAATATCTCCTTTATTTTTATAAATAGGAATTAATGTACTTCTCCTCCACTCATCAAGCATTTTCTTGGACCGTAAAATCACATTAAATAACTTAGTTAACCATCTCACCCTTTCTTCACCTAAACATTTCCACGCTTCGATAAATCAGGTCCGTTGGCTCTACCATTTGCCATTTTCTTAAGAGCTTCCTTTACCTCCTTATCACGTATTATTCGATAGAATGACAAATTTTGTTCTCATTCACCAGTTACTAAATCCTCCAAGTTACTAGATAGACCCTCTCCATCATTGAAAAGTTTAGAAAAGTAAGTCTTCCATCTATTTTTAATTTCATCATCTGTAACTAAAGTTCTTCCCTCTTCATCCTTAATACACCTTACCTGTTCTAGGTCATAATCATGCATAATCTAATACAAGAAGTGAGTCAAGAAATTGGTCATGAAAGTCATTGAAAAATCCTAAAAAACGCAGTCCATTATAGAATTCTAAAGAAATTTCTCAAATATTGAATCAAAACTTGGTAAGCTCAGTGAAATTTATATGCAGTTTTTCATATATAAAAGTTTGTTGAATTCTGCATGATACCATGCAATATGTATATGATTTTGATGAGTTTTATTATTTTTGTTTGCTAGGGAACTAAAACCATTGAAGGCATAACTCTGAATGTTTCAGAAATTGAAGAGAGGCACTTAGGTCCTCAAGCCTTTTGCTCAATGCCCAATTTAATGTTTCTTGATTTTTATACATGTTATATTTCTACTAGACGAGGGAACAAGTTACATTTTCCTTGTGGACTAGAGTCTTTGCCAACTAAGCTAAAACTAGTACGTCGGGAGGAATGTCCTTTGAAGTCCTTGCCAGCAGCATTCAAGGCTGAAAATCTAGTTACCTTTGAAATGCCAGACAGAAAATTGACAAAACTTTGGGATGGGATCCAGTAAGTTTATATAAATTATTAACGCACTTTTTGGAAAATATTACTGTAATTTATTTCTCTTTGCTGTTGCAGAATCTTGAAAACTTGCGTAAGATTAACCTCAATGGATCAATGAACTTGATTGAACTCCCAAATTTTTCAAAGACTATACATCTTACTGAAGTAGATGTCAGTTTCTGTTATAGCTTGCTGAGTGTTCATCCGTCTATTTTATCTCTCCATAGCCTTCATTATTTCTGGCTAGGATACTGCCAAAATCTTGCAACCCTTACTAGTGATACTCATCTAGAATGACTTAGTGTTCTCAACCTCTAGGAATGCTCAAGTCTAGTAAAATTCTCAGTGACCTCAGAAGATTGTCTGCTTCATTTAGATCTTTCAGGAACAGCCATTGGGGGTGACCTATTCTCATCAAGTGGCCATCTCAGCAAAATTCAGACTCTGTCTAAACCACTGTCGAAGTATGACAAATCTTCCATACAAGTTGTTCGACCTGAGTAACCTTCGACATCTTAGAATTCTTGGTTTTAATGAGTTAGTATGGAATGTAGCTTTCATATTTGATCGGTCATGTGCTTCGATGTGGTTAAATGCTTGTACTGAATTTTTTGAATTGCCTCATAACATCCGCATGTTGTCGTCAATTACGTGAATCATCACTCTCAGGGACTAACGTAAGGACCTTTCCTAGCTCGTTTGAGAACTAGATTTGCCTCAATTGTTTGTCTCTTGCCTTCAACTTTACTCAAGTTAGCTTTTGTTATTTCAAGAGTTTGTTGAGCTTCTACCCTTCTCCACATCATTTACTAAAACAATGATCTCATTATTGCCTGTTCCAGCAAAACTGCCTATTAGAGCCATCGTTACCCATTGACCGTTAAGGCATATTCTCAAAATACCAATATCTATAGTGGTGGCAATAGGCACGTGATTTGGTAATAATCCAATTTGTTCACTATTAGTAGATAAAATAATTTCCTTCACTTCTGAATCCCAAACAATTCGATTTGGGGTCAGTACAAAAAAATTTAAGGTCATTTCTTCAATTTGCTCTCTATATTTAAGTTTCTAGCCTTCGTAGTAGCTTCATTGATGTTATCTACCAAATAAAAGGTCTGTTCGAGAAGATCATCTAATTCTCTAGAAAGAATCAATTTAAACCCTCTATTTTTTTTTTTTTTTTGCTAGACCAACATATTTTCCCGATGAGCCGGTAAATATTTCTACTATGAAAAAAGGCTTTGATAGGAAATGCTCAATTTTTCGTGCTAATATTTGGATTTAGAATTCTTTTTTTATAATAATTATAAAAGAAAAGGTATATGCGTGAGACATAATCAATCTATTAATTAATCTATTTCATTTAAATTCTATAAATATATCATATATATCATAGTCTCATCTTTTAATACTTCGAGTGCTAATAAAACTAAAATTTAATTGTCTCAATCCCTGAGCAATCGCACCAAAAATTCAAGTTCCTTTTAGATTTCCTTCTTGATCAATGACACTGCAGCATTATCATTATATTGTATTATCATACTGTTATTATATTTGGGTTCTGTACAAGTACCTACAATTACAACTTTTAAGCCTACATTTTGTCAACTTGGATGAATGTGAAAGGCTTCGATTTCTACCAGAACTTCCTCACTCTGTCCTATCATTGTCTGCCCAAAGCTGCCCATCCCTTAGAACCCTTCATTAACTTCAACTGTTGAAGAAGATGATAATAACGATATTGATGATGTTGGATGGACAATATTTTAGGTTCAAAAACTGCATGCTGTTGGATGGACAATCAATCAAAGCTGTTGAAGCAAAAGCTCTACTTGAGATAAATAAAGCCATTTATGGCAGGGCTATAATTGAATATCCAGGAAATAATGTTCCAGCGTGGTTCATGTATAGGACTACACAGTCTCGAGTAACTGTGGATCTCAGTTTGATCCCACAACCTTGGGATTGGAATTTCATTTTCTGCGCCGTGGTTTCTAAATCCCCACTGGACACATACATTGAAGTCAAATGGTTTATTGATGGTGTATATGCCTCTAAGGATACCAGCTTGTTTAACATGTGTAACTTCACTTTTTCAGATCATATTTTTATTTGGTATGATTCATTTATGTCTTCTGAAATTTAATTTAAAGAATAGAGAACACATGCTCGGAACAATACTAATCATCCATTGCTTGAAATAAAGTTCGCAATCATTTGCCCAAAGTCATTGGAATATGGAATAATGGGAGAGATCAAAGAGTATGGGGTATGCCCAACATCTGGACTTGAAAAGTACTGCGGGGTTCGTTGCTCTCGAAAGCGCAAATATCACAGCGTTAATGAATTTGAGTCTCAAAGCTCTCAAGTTGAACGATCTTCCAACTACAACTTATTAGGTGACTTCCATCCTCCAGATTTAAAAGGCATACCCTGGTTTTAGTTTTAATAAATGATTTTTGTTCCTCTAATCCTGATTCTCTTACTCTTGGTTTTTTTTGGTTTTTTAATTGTTGATTAACTTGCACATCTTTGTGTTGTACTTGTATTGGTCTGCCTTCAATTAATTTAAGATTTTTTTATTGATAATTAATTTAATTCTTGTGGAGTCTAACTTGTTGGAAGAGAATTAATTTTCCATTTTCTAGATACTTTAACCAAGTTTTTGATATATCTTGGTCAACAAAATGATTAATCATAAGGTGTGAATACAATGTTTAGATGTAGTTGGCACAATACATCATAATATAAATGCAGCTTTTTAGAATTTTCAGATCAACGTCTTCCTTATCCTTAAGATGTTACGCTTCACGTATGACAGAGAATCTATTTCTTTATTTAGAATTAGAAATATATATGACAAGACTGCTTCATCATCCCTTCGTCCTCATGTTGAAGTGTGTTCCACAGTCGAAAGGTGCTTCTGCATGAAGTCTCTGGAATCCCCTGAATCTGGACAGAGAGTGAGGAACGGGACAGAGCCTGGAAACACCAACCATTGCCATCTTTCAAGCACAAAGCACGAGTTTAGACGATGCAAATAGAGACAACAAAGGGAACATAAGATGGAACAGAGAAGAATGCTTGCGTCCGTTGTTGGATTAGATTTCAAACCCTTGTAGTCGTCCAAATTGTCTCACAAACACACACACACACATTAGGAACTGACTGTGTTGACCCAAAGTTAAAAGAGTTAGCAAGAAAAGTGACTCAATGTGCAAATGGAATTCCATTGGGCCTAAAAGTTTTAGGTTCCTTTTTTGAAAAAAGCCAAGAAGAATGGAAAAGTCAACTGAAAAACTTAAAAAATCTTTCTTTGTTCAAACTCGTGATGTTCTGAAATTAAGCTTTGAAAGACTTGATCTTGAAGAGAAAGATACACGCACACACTCATATTGCATGCTTTTTCAAATGTTATAAAGTTGAGGATGTAAGAATTTTGTTAGATTCATGTGGTTATTCAACACATATTGGATTGATAAGTCTGAAAGAGAAAGCTCTTTTAAATATTTCTATTGAAGAATATACATGCGTGATTTACTACAAGAAATGGGTCAATAAATTGTTTGTGAAGAATCAAAAGCTCTTAAAAAATGCAGTTGGTTATGGAGCTCTCAAGAAATTTCTCAAATATTGAGTCAAAATATAGTAAGAGTATAAACATTTGTTGAATTCTATAGTTATAATATAATTTATATACAATATTTTGATTGCTTTTTATCATTTTCAATTATTAGAGAAGAGTCATTGAAACTTTATCTTTTAATTTTTCAAAATAACTGAGGAGATGTATTTAAGATCTCAAGCATTTTGTCGAATGTCTATTCTAAAATTTCTTTATCTTTCAATTATCGTTCATCCGGTGTTTCATGTTTCATTGTTAAAAAAATTTGTTAGTCCGGATGTTCTCCTTCACTCCACCTTGCCACCAGTTGATGATTAAGGCCAATTTTTGTTGGAAATAGAAGAAATCTTAGGCCGGAATATAGTTAATCGCCATCATTTGCCCGTCACTCAAGTTCTCATACATTGGAAATTTTCTCAGCCAGAAGATGCCACTTGAAAAGATCTTTCAGCCATCAAGCAATAATTTTCTCACTTCAATGTTGCTGCTCCTTCCACTACTCCCATCCTTGTGGACAAGGATGTTTTTTAGGGGAGGAGTATTGTTACATGTTACAGCTTTATCTAAGGGCTTTATTGTTCTTTTGTGTTCTGTTATTGTTGCCTTTTCATATATTGCTGAATTCTAGAGAGATATTGATGGTGTGGGACCCCTCTTGACACTTGTCCAGGTTTAGGGTATATGTGCTGTGCCCTGCCCATTTCAGATTTTTTTATGAATGGAATAGTCATTTTCTCTCCTCCTCCTTCTTCTTCCCCTTCCCTCATAACAGAATTTGTGTTTTGAAAAGTTTAATGTGTTAGTAGGGTACTGAATTGACCTAAATTAATGAAAAAAGGAATGCAGCGTTTTAGATGTTTCATACCAACGTCTTCCTCATCCTTATAATACCAAACCCTCCTCATTCTTGTTCTGTTCCAGACCTCGGGCCAGATTGTTCTGTTCCAGATTTCAATTTAAGATTTTTTTTTAAATTAAATTGTATGGCTTACTCAACCTTCCATTATCGTTTAGCCATATGCGTTGAGTCAGATGCTGAGCTGAAAAGCCAACGAAGAGATTCCATTCTCATGGGCAGATCGATCTTGGCTTAAAAGTCAAAACTAACTTTGCCTTCTTTTTATTTATTTGTTTTGTTAAATTCGTGGAAGTTTCGCATGCATTAATCTAACAGTCACAACTTCCCCGCTATCATTGACTTTGTTGCTCGAATAAACTCCAAGATCAGCTTATCTTCATCAAAGTTCAGATTTGAAGGACTCGCAATTCTCTTCTGCATATCAAAGCAAGGAAAGCAATCTGATATGGCGTCTTCTTCTTCCTCCGCTCCGTCATCTCGACCTGCAAAGAAATATGATGTTTTTATTAGCTTCAGAGGTGAGGACACGCGCTTCAATTTCACCAGCCATCTTCACGATGCTCTTCGCAGAGACAAAATTGAAACATATATCGACTACAGACTAGAGAAAGGAGATGAGATATGGCCCTCTCTTGAGAAAGCCATTGAAGATTCGACTCTATTCCTTGTCATCTTCTCAGAAAACTATGCATCTTCCACGTGGTGCTTGAAGGAGCTTACCAAAATATTAGAGCGCTCCAAAAATCAAGGTCATAATTCGGTGATGCCAGTGTTCTATAGAGTAGATCCTTCAAATGTGAGGAAGCAGTCTGGGAGTTACGAGAAAGCATTCGAAGAACATGACCACAAAGGCATCAGCAAGCGGCAACTGCAAAAGTGGAGGGAGGCTCTTACTTACGCTTCCAATTTAGGCGGTTGGACTTGTAGCTTGGATAGGTAACTACATGCTTTTATGATCTCTCTCTTATCCTGAACCATGCAGCTAAATCAATTAGTCTGTGAATATCACTGTTCTGAATTTTGATATTTTGAATATTCTGTTTTTTTTACCTTAATCCTCGTCCCACTGGCTATCTTTTAGATTTCCTTTATCTATAAAGATGGATTTATAGTCATAATATTGAGCTGAAATTTTAGATATGTAGTTTAAGTCATTAGTAATTTTACTTGAAAAATTTAGAACGAATTTCAATAATTTGCTAACTTTCAAATTAGTTGCTTATTTAATTTAGGATTACTTTGCATTAATATTTGAATAGATAATGCAGTATCAAGTTTGGCGTGTCTTTATTTTTCCAATGGTGCAGGAAGGAAGCCGAGCTAATTAAAAAAATAGTGAAACTTGTGATGCAAAGATTGGGCTGCATGTTTGAAAGTGAAGGTCATTTAAAAGGCTTGATTGGAATTAACAAAAAAATAGAAGATGTAGAATCATTGTTGTACAAAGGTTCACAAGATGATGTTCAGTTTATTGGGATTTGGGGTATGGGTGGTATTGGCAAGACCACTCTTGCAAGGGCAATATTTGACAAATTGCGTTTTGCATATGAGGGGTTTTGCTTTTTGTCCAACGTAAGGGAAGAATCAAAGAACCTTGGAATAGATGCTTTGAAGAAAAAACTTGTTTGGACATTATTACGGGATAAAGAATCTCGCATTGGCGATGAGGAAATAACTCCTCATGCCATGTGGAGACTTAGCCAGAAAAAAATTCTCATTGTTCTTGATGATGTTGACGATCATGAACAATTAGAAAGTTTAGCTGGAAGACATGATTGGTTTCAATCTGGAAGTAAAATCTTGATAACAACCAGAGATAAGCAAGTGTTTGGTAAGGAAGTAGATGATATATATGTGCTTGAGGCTCTGAATTTTGGTGAAGCTTTTAATCTGTTCTCCATGAATGTCTTTGGAAAGGACTGTGCTGACCCCATGTTAAGAGAGCTAGCAATAAAGGTTACTCGGCATGCACATGGAAATCCACTGGCCCTAAAAGTTTTAGGCCGCTTCTTATTCAAGAAAAGTCACGAGGAATGGGAAAGTCAATTGAAAAAACTTAAAAAGTTTACTCGTCCAGAAATTCATAATGTTCTAATGTTGAGCTTCAGTGGACTTGATCATGAAGAGAGAAATATTTTTTTGCATGTCGCATGTTTCTTCAAAGGTTATGATGTTGAGGAAGTAAAAATTTTGTTAGATTCATGTGATTATTCAACATCTATTGGATTGGCAAATCTTGAAGGGAAAGCTCTTATAAATATTTCCAAAGGAAGAATATATATGCATGATTTACTACAAGAAATGGGTCGAGAAATTGTTCGTAAAGAATCAGAAGATGATCCTCAAAAACGTAGTCGATTATGGAATTCTCATGAAATTTATCAAATATTGAGTCAAAATATGGTGAGAATGAGCATATTTTTTTTTTTTTGAATTCTATGCTTATTATGTAATCTATACAATGTTTTGATCATTTTTTTTATTATTTTCAATTATTAGGGAAGTGAAGCCATTGAAGCCTTATCTTTCAATTATTCAGAAATAAATGAGGAGATGTATTTAAGTCCTCAAGCCTTTTGCCGGATGCCTAATCTAAAATTTTTGGACTTTCAAGGCCATTTTCATCAAGGGTTCAATCATGATGGCATCGAGTTTTTGCCAAATGAACTTAGACTAGTGCGTTGGCATTGGTGTCCTTTGAATTCCTTGCCGGTAGCTAAAAATCTTGTGACAATTGAAATGTCATGGAGCAAATTAACAAAACTTTGGGATGGAGTGCAGGTAAATTTATATTTTTTCTTACAAAAATCAGTGATGTAAAACTCTGTATATTAAATATGTCTTAGGGTAGTTTATTTCATCAAAATAGTTTAAGTCATTTGGTTAAACATAATCTAAGCTTATATATTTTTAATATATCTTTCAGTTCGTGTAATATTTTTAACTTCTTTATTTCTAATAAGCAATGCATGATGCACATTAATAGATATTATTAAGTAATTTATGTCTTTGTTGTTACAGGCTCCTGTAAATTTGCGCAAGATTAACCTCAGCTACTCATATAATTTGATCGAGCTTCCAAATTTTTCAAGGTGTATACATCTTACAGATGTAAATCTACAGGGTTGTTTTAAGTTGCAAAGTGTTAATCCATCAATTTTATCTCTCCATAGCCGTCATAGGTTATCACTTGAGGAGTGCGAATCCCTTACCAGCCTTACAAGCTCCACCCATCTAGAATCTCTTGGATACCTCTCCCTTCTGGATGCTCAAGCTTGGAAAAATTTTCAGTAACCTCAAAAAATTGTGAGTTTGAATTGAATCTAGCAGCAACAGCCATCAATGATGAAATGTTCTCATCCAGTGGGCATCTCAGCAAAATGCATACATTATGTCTAAACAGATGCGCAAGCTTGGCAAATCTTCCCTATAAGTTGGCTGACCTGCGTAATCTTAGAAAGCTTCAAATTATGGGTTGCAACAAGTTAGCATCGAATCTACATTTCATATTTGATGGGTCACGTGCTTTGGAAGCTGTAGAAGTTGACGATTGCAGTGGGTTATTTGAACTGCCTGACAACATCTACTTGCTTGCATCATTACGCAAGCTACATCTCTCAAGTACTAATGTAAAGACCTTGCCTGTAAGTATCAAACATCTTTTGAGACTGCAACGTCTTGAGTTGGATGATTGTAAAAGGCTTCGTTCTCTACCAGAACTCCCTCCCTCCATTCGATGGTTGATAGCCAGTGATTGCCGATCCCTTAAGACCGTACATTTAACTTCAACAATTGACGACCATCAGGTAGAAGAAGGAGATGAAGACGCATTCATATGCTTTAACTTCACAAACTGCATGAAGTTGGACCGGGATTCAATAAAAAGTATTGAAGCAAAAGTGCTACTTGAGATGAATAAAGCCACACCCATTCCTAATGTCTCGCTTGCTTACCCAGGAAATAAACTTCCAGAGTGGTTCATGTATAGGACAAAGCAGTCTTCCATAGTTTTGGATCTCTCTTCGATTCCACAACCTTGGGATGGCAGTTTCATCTTCTGCGCCATTGTTTCTAAATCACTCCACTTTGATGAAATTAAAGCCGACTGTTATATCGATAGACTACATATTGGTCATGCAACCTTCTCATATACGGATGAGTTACACGGATCCTTCTCATACACAGCTGAGTTATTTTCAGACCATGTTATTTTTTGGAAAGGGTCAGTAGAAACGACAATTGGAGAAAGGAAAACAGATACCCAAAGCCGCACTTGTCATCCATTGCTTGAAATAAAATTCAGACTTATTTTTGATGGTGAAGAATATGAAGATAAATCGATGGAGGTCAAAGAGTATGGGTTTGCCCAATGTCAGCACCTGAATGTCAAAACTATATTCAACAAATGAAGTTGGCATTGCGGCCACAGCCTAATTCTATTGAATTGGATTTTAGTTGCTCTTATTACAGGACAAGTCATTCTACCATGCATGATGAGCTCCACAAAGTTGTAATAGGGGCTTGTTGCTCAAGAAAGCGCAAATATGACAACATAGATCTTGAAGAATTTGAAGATTTGGATTCAGATTAAAATTAAGGTGATCCTTACTTTTAACATTCATTTTCTTCTTAAATATTCTGCCTTTCCTTCTATTACCGAAGGGGTTTTTTTTTTTATAATTTAATTGTGAATGGAGCTTCATATTTTACTTTCTCACCCTCTAATTTTCTTTCAAACTTGTCTTCTTAAAGAAATGAATTAAAGTATGGATTCTTTATGAATTGCCTTAGCATTGTCTACCAGGAACTGCCCATTCCTTGGAATCCAACATTTAGCTTTAACGAGCGAAGATGAAGAAGGAAAAGAAGTAAATTGTGATGATGAGGATGAAGTTTATTTATATCCGTAGCTGTAGAAGCAAAAGCCATCCTTGAGATGAATAAGGGCATTTATAGTAGGACTATGATGGAATATCCAGGAAACAGAGTTTCAGAGTGGTTCATGTATGGGACTACACAGTCTTTCCTAAATGTGTGGATCCCTATTCAATTGCATAACCTTGAGATGGTGGTTTCATTTTCTGTGCTGTCGTTTTTAAAACACCACCCAATGCATACATTGATTATGTTATTGATGGCACTTATGCTTGTACGGCTTCTTTTATATATTGTTCTAATCATTAGATTATCTACAATCTAGCTATATTCAACTCTTAAGGTTAATATATAATTTGGATCTTAAACTAAAGGTCCAGGGGTGATTTGAATCAATAATTTAAAAATTAGATCGAGTTGGATAGTCGGATCGATTGAACCATCGACTAGAGCCGTTAATAGCTTGGTTTGGATTAAAAAACTATTTTCATGATTGAGCCGAATTGAATTGGAGTTAAGCCAAAAATCGAAGTTAAACTGGGAACGGAGCGGTTTTTAGAAAATTGGATGGCTTTAATCACAATATTAAAAAAGATTAAAAATTTAAAAAAAATAGAAAAATTTAAAAATTAGATCCTACTAAAAGCCAACTTTATTTTTGGACAATTCACGTGTATAAAATATGAAGATGTTAACAATTATAGATGTAAATATAAATACTTTTAAGTTTACTCATATATAATTTAACTAAGATCCACCTATGTTTAACAAGTTATAAAATTATAATTTATAATATTATTAATTTGCAATTATGTCATGTTATTTTATTAACATACTGTATATTTTTTTCTTCTATTTATCTGCATATGCATCTAATAGTGTTTTTATTTAATTATTACGTCACAGATTTGATCATTGGTACTGTGAATTGTTGACCTTTTCGGTTTAATATTCGGTTTGGTTCTAAAAATATTAATTTGAACCTTAAATTTGTATTTGATATATTATGAATCCTAAATAATTAAACTTGGATAATTTTGCTCTTATTGTTAAATTAAAACAAACATTATTCATTAAAAAATGGGGCTTAATATGAAATTTCTACTAAATTTCACTCTCTCTTCTACCCTCCTTCGAGGAAAATTACCTCACATTTATTATTTAAGATTTAAAATGTATCACATACAAGTTTAGAATTTAAATTGCCTTTAGACTTATATTTCAGGATCTAAATTGCATATTAATCCTTAATTCTAATTGTCAATATAAACTTGTTATGTCACATTCCAATACTAAAAGTATGAACGGCACGAAATTGAGATAATCTCCCATTTCGTAAGCCTTAATTAGCCAAAAATTAAGCTAAATTATTGATATATGATTTTTTTTATATTTATAAAGTTCATAAAGTCTTAAATACTTTGTAAAAATTTTAGCAAAATCTTTTCATATAACTTGGACCTCTCCAAATTCCTACAATAGCAAAACCAATCAATCACAAGGAGACTAGTTTTACACTAATAGATTATATATCAACCAAATAAAATTAGAACCTAACTATAATATACGTGAAGCACTAAATTATAATTTCATAATATAAAATGTATTTACATCAAAAGTAACTACCACATACTTTCATGGTTCTAAAAAAACAATTGCATCCCTAGTGATCGATAGGAGATGTAGGGTCAATTTCAATATCTAAGACCAAAGAAAATTTTTGTGGTGAGTAGCGTCTCAATTAATAGTTGAAGTAAATAATGAAAAGCAATCAATAAGCCAATTATAAATTAACTAAAATAATCAATTGAAAATAATATCAATTAAGAATACATAAATACAAATGAAATTATTAAAATTCAAATTTTAAATTATTAAATTTCTAGACATGCTCAAACATCTTGGGATATATATATATATATATAGATATTATATATATATATGACTCAATAAAAATCCATATATAGTAAAAAAATAACAGTTTGCTTCCTGAGATCAAATTTTAAGAAAATAGTTTCAAAATTCCTTCTTTAACAGGATTTAGTCAAAACGATTAATAAGCACGGATACACAATCCATAGAGTAAGTAACATATCCAACGTGGACACACAATCCACTAGAGTAAGTAACATATCCGGCGTCGCATGATATGAAAACAGACGCAAGTATAAAGCTCACGAATAACAGGATGGTGGAATATTCACAAAACTACATCTTCTATTTTGCATGTGTTAGCCGGCGCACGAGGCTAGCACCTTTAATGCACCCGAGTAGCTAGGTATACCATGGTATGTCAAGAGCTAACGAAATTGCTCTTAACATCCAGCGTTTTGAACTCAGTCCTTCTAATTAAATCAAGCATGCATGGAGTTAAAACATTCATTAAAAACCATTCATTTTAAAATATAATATTCAATTATCATTTTTTTTCATTATTCTCCATACACGAATCATCGCATTAACAACTGTCATATAAATTATAAAATTTAAACAATAGAAATGTTTGGAATAAATAATCGATCAATAATGTACTTGATCCAAATATTCTTTAACAATTGCATAATTATAATGAAATAAACCAAATTTCATAAAAACCAATTAATAAAAAAATGAGGTAAATAAAAAGAATTGTATAAATCATAAAAATAAAATTGACAGAAAATCTTTATACAACTTATAAAGAAATGCTATAAAAATTTAAATAAAGAAATTTTATAAATATTTTGCAAGAAATTATTTGGGACATACTCACTCACCTGAGAGTTTTTCAAAAAATTTTAAGCTTGCTTCTCTTATTTTTTTATTTTAATTCTAATTATGCCCCTTAATTTCCTGATAAATAAATTATAATCCTAAAATCATTATCAAGTAATTTTTTTTTCAGTTAAATCCATGAATGAACATTTTAATTAAAACTAACCACCACACAGGAGGTTATGTATAATTTCTTACAGCTTTCTTCTCATCAATATATAAATTTAAAAACTAAAATGTAAATTTTTTTATTTCCTAGGAAATAGAAACTTAAATTTAACCATATCAATAATCAACCTGATCATTCTTTTAAGTATTTAGACAAACATCTTAGAAGCATTCCTATTTGCTCATCACATAACCAATTTGCATACATCCTAACCTCTTATCCTCACCATTTAATTCTAAATCAAACTTCTATATACCGTTTAGTATTATTAAAAACACAAAACATTCAAATAAATTCCAATCAATTATTTGAATCACCTTTGCCAGCAACTAACATCAGCACCCTTAACAAGAATTTTTAGCATGTATATACTTATTCCTCAAGCTTCTTCTTTTAATGATTTAAACAACAAAGAAATTCAATTTCCCTCTTTACTAAAAATAACCAACAGAAATAGTGAAGCAGAACTTCAATCCCCATCATCATCAGTCACGACAAAACCATTTGGAAGGGGCAAAAATTGCCATCCAGCAAAAGAGAAGGAATTAAGCTTCATCTCACACATCTAGCAATTGAGGAGGAAAGGAAATTGAAGATCAAGCACACACACAAACCTGGAAGAACAGAGAGCGACGGAAGAAGAGAATCCGGCGACCTCACCACCTCCAGCAGCCAATCGTGATACTAGGACAGCACAAGTCAATGGCGATAGAGAAAACCAATGGCGAGGACTAGAGAGAGATGGGTCGACAGTGAAAATTAGAGGAGTATACTAGTGGTGGAGAGAGAGAGGAAAAAATGGGATGCTTTGTTTCATGAAGTTCAAGCGGAGGAGAATAAAAAATTTGTTTCAAAAAGATAATTGAAAAAGTTACAAGTAAAGCTCAAGAAAAAATTATCAAAAAGGCACAAGATTAGTAAAATTCAAATTTTAAATCTTTAAAAAAGTTATAATATAAGTTCCTATCAACCACTACTCTCCATTACTATAAAACTAATTTAAATATAATATTAATTGGTAGAAAAATTAATTTAATTTAATTTAAAATTTAGGATCATTACATATTAATATAGCCTAATGCTTTAGGTGCTAAATAAATGGAACATAACATTACTTAATCCACTTGTCATCTGGTTATATCTATAAAGTATTTTAGAATAGTTTACACAACATTCACCAAATAATGTGTTAATTTCTATTATCTCCACAATTTCTGTGTGATTTTAGTTCCAATTTCATTTTACATCCTCCCTGTACCTCTATCTCAGCTGCAGATTTTATGTTTTGATCGAACGACAAATGGTTGTTGCGTTGGGGATGAGTTATGACAATATGTTGGGCATCTATTTTGGAGAACTATAAGAATCTGGGATTGGAAAATGCTTAGAAGATTATTGTTGATTGATTTCTTTTTTCCCTTTCATTTTACTTGAATTTAAAAATGGTATAATATATCAAGTACATTATTTTCGGCATTTAAATTCAAGATAAGTAAATACAACATAAAGAGGTACGTATGCTCGAAAAGATTCAAATGAAGATAAAAAAATGAAAACATATCATTCATAATATAAAAAATGAAAATATATCATTTATAAAAAACTTCGCATCTGTGTGTTTTAAAATTATTTTTTTAAAGAAAAAAAGTGGAGTTGCTTGTACAATGTCCCTTGTGATTGGAAAAAAAAATTAAGAAGAAATTAAAACGAGAAACAATACGAGAGAACGATGATTAATTTAGGAAAAAATAATAATACAATAAACATTGAAACTCATAACTTTACGGTCAATTGAATAGGGACCATGAAATAGAAAGAAAATTGAACATTGAAAGAAAAATAAATGGCATACTTTTTAATTTTGGATTTCTCGATTGTTAGGTTGAATGAAATCAACACTCCAAATTGCATTTAAAGAAAATTATTTTTTAAAAAAAAATTAGGAGAACGTATATATGATTACATTTGAATTGGGGAATGACATTAAGGTAGCATTTTGATGAATGGATTTTGATTTGAATTTTAAATTTAAAATATCACATTTCAAATCTCACTTTTAAAATTCATGTACAGATGAATTGAGATTTAAAATAAAATAGAAAATTTAAAATAATGAGTTTATTTTATTTTTTTGATTAATAAAATATGAGAATTAAAAAAAAAGATACGAGACTATATAATATAATACAACTTATTCTCAATTTCGTGCAAAATATAAACTAGCCACTAAATCAATGGAAACTAAATCAAGCGGATTAGCATATATGGTAGTAGATGGAGGTGAGCTTATGAGCTTTCCCTAAACAACTAGCAAAACAAAGAACAGTATCACATTTATTGAGAAATGAAA